AATAACATTTGTACCAATATTGGTTCATAACTATGGCAAATATATCACATGATTCCAAGACATTAGTAAGAGAGGAAACAAAACAGGGCCTGGGAGTCTAAAACCTTTCTAAATTTCTCTCTAAAACTAAAACTGTCCGAGAAAGTAGACTCTGTTTTAAAGGTCAGGGGAACAAGTCTAGGTCATTATGAAAATTATACTTCTTATGGTCAGATATATGTTCCTTCTAAGTCATCAATCTGACCCGGGTATCATTATTGTCTGCCTGGATACAGGTATGTCGCAATCAAGTCTGGGTTCTAGTTGGCGATAAAGGGAAAGAGAGAGTAATGGAGGCATATCCACAGTCCATGGGTCCGGACCTGCATACTGCTCCAAGAGTTATTCTATTTGAGGGACTTAGTCACTTGTCATGGCTGAGACAGGATCCCTCCAGGTAGCCCTGGCTGTCCTGGAACTCATTACGAAGAGCAGGCTAGCCTCGAACTCAGAGTCCACCTGCTTCTGCCTCCCGAGTGCTGGGTGCAGTGCCCAACACCCTCATTTGTCTCTTTACATTAAGCAGGCAGCAAAGCTGTAAGACGATGCTTTGCCATTTGCTGATGAACTCTGTTGAGAGCCATGACTGTACCTGTCTTGTTTCATGCTCCAACAAAGGTCCAGGCGCTGAATCTCCTGCACTCAGCAAATGAGTGGTGTGAGTGAGTGTGTTGGTTATTTTATCATCACCATGGTAAAAAATATACTGGGGTTACTTAAGAAGGAAGTTTTTGCTTGTTCTCGGAGGTTTAGCTCATGGTTGGCCCACCTGCTTGGGTAGAGCATCATGGTGGCAGGGGGTGTGTTGCTGGAGAGGCTTCACCTGGCAGAGGCTGGGGAGCAGAGAGAGACCACTTGCACTCTCTAGCCTCTTTTGTACCTTTTATTCCATCCCGGTCCCAGACTGGCACCACCTACACACGGGAAAGGTCTTCTTCTCCCTTAGTTAATCCTCTGAAATAGCCTCCCAGACACACCAGACGTGTTTCATCCAGATGACTGAAGAAGGAAAGTACCTCAGAGTTCTCAGGGCATTTCTGGGATAATCCTTAAAGCACAATTGCTTCAACAAATTCACAAGAACATTACCTGTTTTTATAGCTGCTCCCAGGTTTGACCTGCAAAGAGTTCGTCCTGAGCTTTACTCCCATCTATACTGAATGATAAGGACCCATTTCTCCCACACTTTCCAAAAAAAAAAAAGGAGGGGAGGGTAAAGATTTACCTTTCAACAAAAATAAATAAGATCAAAGCGAACAGTTATTTTAAAACCTGATTTAATGTATCCCTATAATTATGTGTAGAGAAAAATGTTTTGTTGTGGGGAAAGTTGAAAATCATAAAATAGGGGCTCTCGTTAAATAATCGTGTCTGTTGGGTTTTTTTTTCCTCTGTAAAACTTCTGAACACTATTCAATGTTCAGTTCAGCTTAAATATGCCTCAGTGTGTGTAGATGGTGTATTATTCTACTTTTCTTCTTCTTAAAAAAAAATTAGTGGGTAGGGGTATGCCTCAGCGGTACAGTAAATACTCAGCATGCGTAAGGCTCTTCATCTCCAGCACCACACAGAAACAAACAAAACAAAACAAAACCTAAGATGAAATAATAACATTTGAGACCAGTTTGGAAAGCACAATAAAATACAGAGAAGAACACATATTTTAAATCTTTGGTTCGAGGAATGTTCACAGACTCAATGTGCTTATATAACAAGTCTCAGACCAAGAAACTGAACACTATCACTACCTCCCAGAAGTCCACTAAGTACATTCTTATTTATACAGATGTTCATCTCAATGATGTCAAATTAATCATTGATATTAGTATTGACATACAATATTGCTGTTATTGTCATTTTTATTATTAATGAGGATTGAACCAAGGTCCTACACATTTATTATATACAGACTCTACCACTGTGCTACACTCTCAGACAGAATGTATGTCTTATATGAGTGCATTTAAACCACATTTGTATATAGTGACATTTCCTCTATCATTACACTGCATATTTTAAAAGCAGACCAATGCAGACAAATAGAAGGTTGCTCACGTCATGGCTAGCTAAAATTAACATCCCTGGTCACTCTGCACATTCTCTGAGGTTTCCAGATAGCACCAAAAGCCAGCCACACAAGTCATGGAAACAGCTGAGGACTCCGTGTAACAGCCAGTGAGGAAGATGATTCAGGTCCAGGGCTATTATTAGAGCCAAGTATGTGCTAAATGTGTAAACAGATTACTAAATAATCCTTTGGATGAGGAAAGAGAAAAGGAAGAGTAGAAGTCACAGGCATTTTATCTCTCCCAACTGTACCATCAGAGTCCAAATCTGGTGTCAGCGTCAGTCTGTGTTCACACTGCTTGGACTCCATGTATCTGACAGCTGCTTGGGAAGACACGAGCAGCAGGTGTCTGCTCTATGTCATCTATGAGTGAATCAACTCAGTGCAGTTCAGAGTGCTCCATGAGGAGGAAAGAAAGAAATGCATACAGCCGCAAGCAAAGTTCCAGAACCTTCAGTGAGCATTCGTACTTTTCCCCAACTTCATTTTTTTTTAATCACATTTTCTTTGACCTCAGATGTGACTGCTTATTCTATTAGTGCCACAGTGCGACATAGTTTGGTTTAGGGTAATTGTTAACATCTTACATACAAAGACTCAAATCAAGATAAACATCTGCCCGAAGTATACGTGGAATCAAAACAGCCTCCCCCAAAACAGACCCATGAAAACAAAATCAACCACATAAACAAACCAACTGTGGTACAACTTGAAACAGGATCAGTCTTTGCCTCAGATCCCAACACAGAACTTTCTCGTAACTCCCCTAGTGACAAGGGTACCCAAAGCATCTATTGCTGTAATGGCTGGTTCTTGAATCAATTTGCTAAAATCCCAGGGGTTCCCCACAAGCAGCAACAGCATCTTTCTTTCAAGCCTGCAATGGCTTCAGTGTCAACTTGTCACAAATTAGAACCACCTGTGTAGGAGCCTCACCCAGAGATTTGTCCTGGTTGCTTTTATCGATGTGGCAAGTCCCCACGCCAAGTGTGAGCACACTCCGCTCACTTGGCTTTCTCTCTTGCCTGCATAGCCTTTCACCTCCCTGCCACGGTGATTTTCCTTGGTGTTGCCGCTGCTGCTGCTGCTGCTGCTGCTGCTGCTGCTGATTCCTTGCTGATACTAGAACCAGCATTTCCAGGCTCCCATCACTGACTGAGGACCAGTGGCACTCCAGGAACCTCCCAGGTTTTCAGTGCCAGATTGGGACTTCAGAAGGACCCAGCCTTACAGACCAAGGAACTACAGAATTCTCAGCCTTGTTTTATTTCGTTTTGTTTTGTTTTGAGATAATTTCTCCTTGTAGTTTTGGTGCCTTTCCTGGATCTTGCTCTGTAGACCAGGCTGGCCTCAAACACAAAGAGATCCCCTGGCTCTGCCTCCTGAGTGCTAGGATTAAAGGCTTGCATCACCACGGCCCCACCCAGTTCTCAGCCTCTTGGTGTGAGACAACCACTGTTACTATTTTAATGTAAGCTGATTAACAAATATATATATATATATATATATATATATATATATATATATATATATATAGTCATCCTATTGGTTCTGTTCCTCTAGAGAACTCTGACTAACTCAAAGTCCTTTGGATCACATTAGAATTGGTGCTAGTGGAGTGAATTTGGGTAGGTGGGGGTCTATAGACAGCATTAGCATGAGGTCAAGTGTCCAGAAAGACCAAATGATCGTGACATTAGAGAGTCACTTCAGCGTCATACACCAACCTTGAGGAGAGAGGGCTGACGCACTGGAAACTGACCTCCATAGAAACTCTTAGACAGTAACATGCAGGGAGCTTCCGGTTGGACAAATCTAGGTGCTAGCAGGGTGGTAGGCCCAGAGAAGATCATGGAGTTGCCAGCCCTATAGACCAAGTTCTACCTGTCTTTGGCTCTGGGTACTCATCTGTATCTTTTTTTTTTTTTTTGCAATATGTTTTCCAATAAAGGGTTATAGTTTGAATATGAAATCTCTCTGACAGTTCATGCATTGAGTTAGCACCATCTAGGGAAGTGGCGAAACTACAGGAGGTAGGGCCTACCTAAATGCAGTAGGTGACCGTTGGCATCCTTTTGAAGTTGTACCTGGTCCCTAGTGTCTTGTTCTTTCTGCTTCCTCTCCACTGTGAGGCCAACAGCAGCCTCCTCTGCAAGCTGCCATCACTATGGTGTTCTGACTGAGTGCATAAAGGCCAAGTGTCCCTGGACTGAACCATCTGAAATCCACAAGCGACATAAGACTTCCTTCCCTGAAACTGTTTCTGTCAGGTATTTTGGTTCCAGATATACAAAAGTAACAAATTCAAAACTGGTAAATGTTTTCCCCTCAGCTCTAAGAGGCATTCTGGCAAATGAGTCAAACCTGAGAGACCCATGGGTCAGGGGCATGGATGACCCACATGACAGCTGGCATCTGAAGAGGACAAACATTGTGGGAGAGAGCCTTCAACCCGTGGGGTTCTGTCTCTAGGTAGCTAATGTCAGAGTTATAGAACACTCAGTTGGTGACTCCAGGAGAATTGCTTCGGGCGTGGAAACTCCCACACACCAGATCACAAAAGCTCTCTGTGTTGCACTGAGTGTATGAGTGGAAAAGAAAAAAACAACTTGTTTTTCCCTTAACACACACAAAAATTTTTTTTAAAGAAGTAATAGTCCTCAATGTACCAAATAATTACAAATTTGACTTTCAATCTTGGCAGACTCCATCAACATTCAAAATCCCTGTGAATGAGCGAAATTGTCTAAGGGGAATAAAGTTCAATGTAAGCCTGAAGCAGAAGGCTTAAGATTCTCAAGTGTCTGTATGACAAGCACTTTTGCATTCCTTTCTTGTTTTGTTATTCTGAGGACATAATGGCCATTGTGATCTAGTAACTAAGGACTGAGGAACAGAGCTCAGGTACATGTCTGGTGGGAGATAAAGGGAAACAGCCTAGGTCTGTTGGACTCTCACAGAGCAGGTTCAGCAAATGACCACACAGCCTGTCATTGCGATTGCCCTGCAACATCTGGTTTAAAGAGGGAGTGGTTATGTGAGAATAAGCCAAAGGCGAAAGTTACAGGGTATCCAGACTCCCTGCTTTGTGAACAAAGGCACCTCAGGACTGTCTCCATGAACCCGGCAGCAACTGGCTTCCCAGGGAAGCCTGGTGAGGTTTGGAAGGGTTCAAGCAGATAAAAGAAATGAAGGTGGGCCTTGAACCCAGGTTTGGCATTTGATTCCATATGATGGCTTTCCCAAATGGATTCCCATGCAAGTGAAGCAAACAAGACTGTTTCTTGGATTGAGTCGCAAAGGCTGGACAATTGATAAAGAATAAAGGTTTGCTTTTAAAATCGTGGAGGCTAGGCAATCTAAAGTTAAAGGCCTGCATAGGGTAAATAAAGTCCGTTTAGCTTATGGGGACTCTGCAGTCAGGTCCTTGCTGACAGGGACTCTGCAGAGCCTGAGGCAGCACAGAGCATCCATCCTAAGAGAGACAAAGTAAGCATGCCTCTTTGAGTCTTTCTTCCTCCTCTCTTCTCTTCTTTTCCTCCTCCTTTCTTTTGTTGTTTTTATTCATTTCCTTTTTCTTTCTAGATGAGACCTTTCTTTATAAGCCAGACTGGCCTTGAATTCGTGATTTTCCTGCATTAGCCTCTTGAGTGCTAAGAGTAAATGTGTGTTCCTCTTCCTCCTCTTTCTCTTCTTCCTCCCTCTTAAGGCACACATTCCCCAGGAGCCCCTCCCCTCACCAGTGCTGCTTATCCTGATTGCCTCCCCAAATCACCATGGGATAAGATGGATTTGGGTAGGACGTCCAAAGCATAATCATAGCACTAATTTTTACGCCTGTTTTCTGAATGTAATTACAGTAAATCTTGGAGGCACATGGTTCTCTACAATCAAGCATGAGGTTTCCCATCACTTACGATCTCCAGGCATAAATACAAATAAAAAGTGCAAATGCCACATGACTGAATATTTCAATATGAACAAGGTCCTACATAAATGATGCTGCTCCTTCTATCAAGATGAACTGATCTTTAAAATACTCTGGATGGCTAAATTTCATTTTTCTAGTTCTCTCACTCCTTGTCCTTACAAACCATGGGTGACTGCACAGGCCCACACTTACCCTCCTCCTCCCATGCCTTAAGGAGCTCTTGCTATCCTTCATGTTGATGAGAATTCTGTGCCATGCCTCACCACCCAGGACAATGCTCCTTGGGAAGACAGATACTCCCCCTCCAACCCCCCCCCCCAAAAAAAAGCTAGAACAATCTCTGCAAAGCAGTTTGTAGCTCTTAACTCAAGGTTGTTTGGGGAACTAGGGAACTTAGGATCATGCTACAGAAGAGGGAGGTGTAGGTGTTATATGGGCACATTCTATAGTCCCATCACCCCAGAGGCTACAGCCAGAGAAACATCAGAACTAGGTCCTCCTGGGTATAGGGCCCCTCCTGCTGGGCCTCTCAGCAGCAGGAACTGCTCATGGTCCAAAGCCAAATGTAAAGACAGCCCCTTCAGACAGTCAATGTTATTTTTCTAAAGTGGATTCCGTTATTTTTAGCTGCCTAGGCTCTCAAACATGAAATGATTTTTAATGTTTAAATCCCAGTAATATTTTTTAATCGTTACATCCGTTGCTTTTCTCATTGCTGTACCAAAATATCTGATGCAAATATCTTAAGGGAAAAAATATATATTTTATTTCACGGTGGGGAAATCAGGGCGGTAGGAGTGTGAGGCATGTGGCTGAGTTGTAGACATAGGCAGGAAGCAATCACACACACACATGCTGGCACTCCACCCACTTCCTCCCTGCTATTCCGTCCAGACCGGAGTCCATGGAGTGATGCCACCCCAACGAGGCGTAAGTTTCCCAAGTCAGTAAAAGCCTCATGAGGAAAGCTTCACAAATGAGTCAAGACCTTTGTCTGTAGCTGATTCTAAATCCCATCAAGTTGGAGCTTAACCATCACGGCCATTTTTCTTTTTCCATTTTTATACCACTCAATGGCTCCAAAGACCTTCAGTTATACCTGCCCAGTTAAAGGCTATTTCTCCCCCTCAGCACTCAGTTCCACTCTCTCAGCTTTCCTCCCCTCCTCCTCTGCCCTCCTACATCCCATTTCTTTAGCTTTCCATTACGTGAGGCTTACCTTTCTTAAGGAAAATTCTGGATTTGTTTTAGACATCTTCTTCCTCTTCCAGCTCGGGCTCTTTTCATCCCCCAACTTTACATTACAGATATTTTTAACCAAAGGAGAGAAGACCGCGTAGGGACAGGGATGGGGAGGGAAGTGTTAATACTTAGAAGTTGACTAGGAGGTTGGATGCGGTAGAGGGGTGATATGAGAACAGAAAGAACAGCTTCTTTGGATGGAATCTAAGAAGAAATTTGAAAATATGGCTTGGATAGCCTCAAAATAAATCAAATATATTTTTTTCCTTTGGTGTAAGTGTACACTGAAAATCTGATTTATAGAAGTAAAATACAGAGAAATCATTTTAAAAATATTTTTATATGTGTGAAATGAATGTTTTTACTGATTAGTTTGATTTCTTGTCCAGTATGTTTGTCTAAAGAGCAAATGTTCCTCTAACACTTCAGAATGTACCATGTGGGCATCCCAAGCATATATCACAGGCTACATCAAGGGAAGGTATTTATGACAGCTTCTATTTGCCTTCAACTCAAAGTTTCCTTTTTCTCTGGCAATATTGGAGGGGTGGGGTGAAGATTGAACCCATGGCCCTGGGCCTACCTGCCAGGCAAGTGTCTTACCACTGAGCTACAGCCCCACTCCCAATGTGTCTTAAATTGAAATGGGAGGTAGTTTTCCTTTGAATTTTGAATGTGTTTTTAAAAAGTAAAAATAACTGCCACACTGCTGCCCCTGGCACTTAGCTTATACAAATGCTGATGTTTTAAATAAAAATATTATTTCTCTCCAGCTGTATTTGTTTGAAGGCTGATAGCTTAGTAAGTGGGGATACTTTCATACTGAGCTCTATGTTTCTTCCTAGGAGACAGCTCTGGAATTTTATTTTAAATGATATGAAAAAAACAAGGATTGATCAAGGAGAGTATGATTTGCAGGTGCAATTTTAAGAAGGGATTAATTCCATAAAATAGAGCATGTCCGCCTTTTTTTTTTTTTTTTTTTTTTTTCAAGATTCCACCTTGTGTTTTAAAGGCAAATTCATGGGTTGGTTGCAGATTTCTTCTGAAACATTGCTAAAAAGGAGACATCTGCTTCCTGTGAAATGAAGCCAGAGCAACACTTCTCAGCGTTTTTAGCCATATAGTGCTGTATGTAGTAGGACAGTGTTGGTGCCGAGGACTGCATGGTTAATTCTGGAGTAGGCAGGATAAGCTATTTGGAGCTGGAATTTTGCAGTAACTAGGTCTTAGGACACGAATGCCAGGCAACTTGTATGAATCATCCTTCACTTCCTGGTTCTTTTCCTGACATTTTGAAGGACTTCTCAGCTTCAAATGATGCTCCACTTGCAGAGAGCTTGGAGGCCTTTTGGTCCACTAAAGTGGACCGTCAGCAAGAAACATGACTATGACTTGGTATCTTGATTGTTGTTTGTGAAGTCTGTTAAGTTCTAAAAATTATCAACAGAGCTTTGAGCACAGAAAGAAAGAAATATGTAGCAATTGTCCCCTAAATTTAGTGTCATAGCCTCTCACATACTATATTTAATTCTGGGCTTTGCATCTAAAAGAAGACAGAAAGCTTAGAGGGAGTTGAAAGGAAAGCTTTAAGTACAATTAGAGGTTTGAGAAACCAGCCCCATGAAGAGCTTCAAGAGGTTTTGTGAATCCTGCTGCTGCCGAGAACGAGAGCTGAACGGACTCAAGTTTTCAGCTGCAGGGTGGCTACTGACGTTGCTGCTCTCCAGAGAGGATTTCAGTTAAATGTCTGACCATGGAATGATTTACCCCAAAGAACTATGCACGCAAACCCACAACTCTCATCTCAAAGGTGATAGTTTATTCTGGAGCCAGACATGAGTGAGTGTGGCCTGGCAATGCAGATTTAGGTTACCCCAAATTCCACATTCCAATGTGGAAGCTGTTTCATGAAGCTTTTATAATAACAGAACAAAGAAAGTCACAAATCAAAACACTTCTCAACTATATTGGTGGAAACACTAGGTAGGCAGACAAAGAGCAAAGTGGCAAGGCTCTGTTGTAGGCCTCAGATGCTATCTGATGACATTCTTAGCTTTTGGTTGCTTGGAGATTAGTGTTTTGTTGTGGACTCCAGAAGATCCACCTAGTGGTCGTAGAGACATTAGGTCAGCTACAGAAGATGGATGTTAAGGGGCCAGAGATGGGCCAGGATAATTAGTCTCTGGATGCACAACATTCCAAACTCTCCATTGAAGCTCCAATCAGCGCCTTCCAGAAGTTTCAGTGGAAAGTACAGCTTCCTTTCTGGAAACTTCCGATCACAGACCATAGAAAAGTCCTTTGCAAAGAACAATGAAAAGTAGGGTAGATTTTAAAAATAGGCCTACCATATGATCCAGCTATCCTACGCCTGCATATATATCCATAGCAACTCAAAGAAACCTACTGAAGAGATAACTGCACACCACCCATGTTCATTCACAGTAGAGAACAGAAGCAGCAGAGGTGCCCATCAACAGACGGAACGGATAAAGAATACATGCACAGCAAGGGATCCTATCTCAGGGGACTAAAGCAGAGAGCAACAGAGGAAGACTTCCCAAATCCTCCTCTAGCCTCTGGGTAGACACCCATTTACACACTCACGTATATGCATCATGCATAAACACCACGCACAACGGCTCTAAATACAATGGAGCAGCATTCAGTCATTTGCAGCAAAACAGATGACCTGGAGAACGCTTTTTGGAGTGAACACACAGAGAAAGGTAAATGTTGTATCCTCTCTCACACAGTGGGAGCCAAGCAAACAAACCGGCAAACAAGTAACCTGAAAGTAGTCTAGAGAGTGGGAAGGGCCTGCGTGGGGTGGGAGAATGGGAGAAGCGGGGAAGTTGCATTCGGTCCCTGCAGCAGGATATATGTACATATGGCAATCCCACACTACTGCCTGCTAACGGATACAATTTGTGTCTATCTAAATAACCACACACACACACACACACACACACACACACACACACACACACACACATCAACCGAGAGAGGGGGGAAAGAAGGGAGTGAGGGAGAGGAGGAGGGAAGAAAAAGAAAATGATTTTCAATTTTCAGGTAGGAGAGAGCTTTGGCCTACCTGATTCAGCGAGAATGTAATCAATAGTCCTCTAGAGGTTTCTTTTTAGTCTCACAACCATGGCCACTTATAGAAATCAGGGATTGATTTATGCTGCAAATGGCGAGATTCCCCAACCTCAGTTGGGAGTTTAAGGTCAGCCACACAGTGAGGATAGACAAGTAGCAGCACTGGTAGCGAGTCAGTAAATACGGCTTGAGAAGATGACAATGTTGTAGTCGAGAGCCTGTTTCTGTTGATGTTTAGAACAACTAGTTAGTTACTAGCGATGATAATCTCTCCAGCTGTAGCCCAGCTTCACTGGTGACCCTATAGAACTTGGAGGCGGGCCTGAGGAAATGGCACAGTCAGCAAAGTGCCTGTGGTGTAAGCACAAGGACCTGAGCTCCGACCCCCAGAACCCTAGAACCCCAGACATGCATCAGGCACATGCCTAGAGCCCCAGCCTTGGAAAGGTAAGGGAAGGGTGGAGTCAGACAGATTCCTGAAGTCTTGGCTGGCCAGCCTAGCTGAATTGTTGAGCTTCTGGTCTGGTGAGAGACCCTGTCTCAAAAATTAAAAGAGAGGGTGAGGGGGTGACCAGGGAAAGACAGAGAGAGAGAGAGAGAGAGAGAGAGAGAGAGAGAGAGAGAGAGAGAATAAACCTTAAGAGAAGTCATTGGGAATTATGATAGCTATACAGGTTTA